CATTGAAGAAAGAAGAGAAGCGGCTTTCTGCCGCGCAGAGAACTATCAAAGGCAAGTCGAGGCATACCATGACTCTCGGGTGCGCAAGCGAAACTTTGACGTCGGAGATTATGTATTGAGGAAAAGAGAAGTGAGTAAACCCCTGGAAGGCGGGAAATTTTCAAAGAATTATGAAGGTCCTTACATCATAAAATCAGTGATCCGTTCGGGGACCTTCAAACTTAAGACACCTAAAGGGAAGGAGATCGAGAGGACTTGGAATGCTGAACACCTACTCAAGTTCTACCAATAATATATTCCTTTTGGTGTTGTATCTCACCACTATAATGTAAGTTCAACATCTACTCATTAATAAAGTACTATGGTGTGCACGGTTCGTTACCGTCACCATTACTATGAGAACGTTTCGCACAAAAAAAGACCCTTCGCGGTCACTATCGGAAGATATTCTAGTACAGTATTGATGACAATAAAAGCCTGAGCGACACTCAATGTGTTACCATCAAAAGGAGGAATATGCCCTGGGCATGTTTCTTACAATGCCTAACCCTGGGGTTGCATGGTCAGGATGCGAATATGGGAATCCCTAAGTGTGACCATGTTTCGCTCACTCAACATGGCTTTGAGGTCATTACTGAGTGATGCGCACAACGTAGCAAAGGAGGAGAAGTCTCCGACAACTTGTGTCTTTTTCCGTCCATGGTAATCCCCTGGTAATGTACGGGTGCCATCAGACTGAACCAAAGTTCTTATATCCGACATCTGGAGAAGTTTGGGGAGGGGGAGACACCTAGTTCTATACTCAGCGCTATACCATCATACAATTCATCAAAGAAAATGACCGCACACACCCCGTTTGAGCAGGGCGCGGTGTGCAACATGATCACCCGTATAGGGAACAATATTAAAAAAACGATATTAAAAGGAAATATTGCATTGTCAAGATAATTGTTTGCTTGAAATTCAAAAAACGGTCTAATAAATTAGGCACTAAAGAAAAAGAAAAACATGCAGACCATGTTATGGTAGTCTAACTCTAACACTCTTCAAGGCATGGAGGTGGTCAAAGAAAGGATCACTCAAGCTAAAGCCCCAAAATTGCTACTTCTTCGGAAGTTATGGGGTCACCAGAGGGAACGACTCTAGAAGAAGGGTCAACATTCTCAGGCTCTTGGTTAGGAATCTCAAAAGGAAGCCCCCAATCGGCAATGCATGAGGCGCCATGCTGAGTCTCCACTCCAGAACATCATAAATTTCCTGTTGTTTGGTATATTCCCCCAAATTGTAGCACAATAAACCGTCTTTGTCAAGTCTGTCGACGCCGGCGGGAGTTTTTAGCCAACGTTCAGCAATCTCTTTTAGGTGGGAATCAATATAGTCTCCCCGCTCAGCGCGGACCTTTATTAACTCGGCGACGTGAGCATCCCTCTCCTGCGCCTCCCTGGCCTTGTGAGCTTCAATCACTTCTCTCATCAATCTCTTATGTGCAGCCCGCTCTTCAGAAAGCAACTTTAATAGCTCCTTCTCGCGCACAACATGCTGGCAATTCTTCCCGGAGATCTTCAACACAAACTACAAAAAATATTATATAATATATATTATTAGTCACACATATCTTTATACAAAAATGAACACCTACACATATACCTTACTATTAAATAAATATTTAGTAATCATATTTGAGCGTGGTCACCTGACACATAAATGTCATGATGTACCTGCTGACCATGCACACAAATACGTTATATACCTCTTAACCCCTAAATACCACAATATAGTAATGTGATACACACATCACACATACTTAGGAATGTTATACATGCAATGTTATGAAGGAAAGTGAGTGGTTACCTCTGCTGCGACATGAAGACAATCATCCTCCAACGGTCCATCAGCCACACTCTTCAGACCTTCCTTGCGCATGACATCACGAGCACCACTAGTGCTCCGGGTGATGCGCCGTGTCTCTTGGGTAACCGGGTTGTTGGTTATGAGCATAGAAGGGGACGAGACACCTTCACCTTGCGAGGCGGGTAGTATGGCCTTTTGCTTCTTGCTCGGCGGGTCTTGAGCAGACGCATGTGACCCTTCCCCAACCATATTCTTGAACCTCTCCGCACGGGACGTCATACCTGTAAGAATAAATAAATAATATACACATATATTAATTTGTTAATCAGGGGAGGGATCTTATTCCAAAAAGAGCACGGTGAGCGTAGACAACCTAGGCCTAAAGAAAGGGGACGAGGATGTCCAATGGTGAGCACAAGCCCGAGGTGAGGAAACCAAGTCTGCTCAAATGGTCCTCGGTAGTATATGTCTAGTGATCTACTGGCACTCTAGCAAAATGAAGGGGGAGCTGCGGCCTTCTCCGGCCGTGGTATGGGATCTACTAGGGAAGACAACGGCACCAGAGGTTGTGTCTAGTGACATGAAGTAACGGGAAGAAGAGTAGGCGGGCTGTTCCGGTGGTTCAAAAGGTCGGTGGTTCTGTTTCTCCGGAGTCTGGAGATGCGAAGGCCTTCTTCAAATTGGCGGGGTTCAGTTTCTCCGCGGCATGGACGTTCAGTTTTTCTGGGCCAACGACGGCCAGCATTTTCGGGACAGCGGCGAGTCACTCCGGCATGGCAGCAACACGTCATCTGCGGTGTATCTACTGGGTTGGACCGTTGGAGTTCCTAAAAGATGAACAACATTGGGTTACTAATATAAAATTACGAGCTGGGACAAATTAATGATTGAGTGAAAAATGATTGGTAATAATATGAGAGACATGGTGAGCATTGGCAAATTATCTTGAGTGAAACATTTCAAAGTAACGTGCTCAACATGTACGAATGGAAGGCTCTTGATGTTATGTTTTGGAATGACATGCTCAGCATGTACAAATGAAAATTATTGATATTCTACTTTGGGTGACACGCTCACCATGTACACTACTCTAAGTGACGTGCTCAGCATGGACAATTTATTTATGATGGACGTGCTCAACAAGTCTGGTGACATGCTCAGCACACCTCATGAGAGACATGCTTGGCGAGTCTGAGGGACGACGTGCTCACCAGACCTTGGGAGTGACGTGGTCAACATGTACGCCTTATTTGTTATTTGGTGTAACACCTTGGGAGCGACGTGCTCTGTACGCCTTGGGAGTGACGTGATCAACATGTTCGAGTTATTTATTTCTTGGTGTAACACCCTATAGGTAACATGCTCAACACAGACGAAAGGGAGGATCATTGGCATACTACTCTAAGCGATGCGCTCGGCATGAACGTTCTTAACACAGATGAAATGGTGGTCTTATGTGGCATAATATGACTTTATTTGAGTAGTTGATGTATACTTCCTCTCACCGATTTATTACTCGGCTCGGGAAGTGGGGGGCTTGTGATGATATAAATACCAGCCCAATATGGTAAGCCCGATTGGATGTGGGCTTAGCCCGTAAATGATATGGACAAGACGAACATGGACATCAGGTCCAAGGAAATACATGGTCAACATACCCGGGATGAGAATCATGGAGTCACATTTACAAAGATATGGCGCGTTGAGCATGACGTGGTCTTTCTTTACAATGAGGCTTAGACATGACATGCTGAGCACGACAAACTCTTACCTCTACCATGAGATTTGAATATAGCCTGTTGAGCATCACATGGTGAGCCTCAACGCGCCTGGTGCACAAGTGCTCAGACCATCACACATGCATGATGCTACTTCCCAGAAGCTACGTGACCAACAACAAATCTCGAAGATCACGGGTCAACTCGCAATGAGTCCTACAAATCAGAGGATGATGGCGCGTCAGTTCAGGCATGGCGACCACGTCGCCCGAATATTTATTGTCTGAATTTTGTATTATAAGTTCATGTAACTCTTGGAAGAATGGGGGATAGACATTGAATACACAACATACAATTATCTCTCTAAGTATTATTCTGAATGCTTTAATTATTTTCGGTTATCTATTAATTATTTTCCTGTGGATTTACTTCCATCATTGTGGTGCTTTTTTCCGTCATTTTGGTGCTTTTTTCTAGGGGTGGGCATAAAACCCGAACCGAACCAGTACCGAACCGTCCCGTAATGGTACCGAACCCAATACCGGGTATTTAAACGGTTCTATAGATTTTTATCCCGTGCCGAAACCGTACCGTTTGAAACAGGTACGGGACCGGTCCTAGATTTTGAGAACCGAAAAATACCGGACCGAACCGTTCGTAAATAATGCATTTGAATTTTTTTATATTTTTTCTATATCAATAGATCTAGACCAACAATTTTATACCCCAAGTATGTATTCACGTGTCCCTAAGATATCTAAAATGTGTTGTTTATTTATATATTGTTAGTTTTTCTTTTTAGATAATTTATGTTATATTTTGGTGTGTATTGAAAGAATATTAAAATTTTAGAAATCATTAATGATTATTTATTTCTAGTAATGTAGTGTACATGACTTTTTGTTGTATCACGTTTGTGCATTTTTTACAACTTAATTAATATGATCTTAACTCTCAATGTTCAACTATAAATTAAATTAAAACTACGGAGTAATATTTAACCTAGAACGAAGAAGAACGTTGAAGATTTCTATTATATTCAACAATTTGATGATATTCGTTTTTATATTTTCACATGAACTTAGTAAATTAAAAATGATATTTATCTCGTGTGTCATCGTTTTGCTATACTGTTTCTTAGTTGTGTTGCATTATTTGTGTATTTGTGAATTTTAGTACTATGTATGTAATTTCTTGTATTTATTTCAACATTTCATGTGAGTTGATTGGTGTGATGGTATCTACTAATTACAAGATTTTTTCAAAAATTTTAGCATTTATTTGGCATTATACCGTACCATTTTGTATCGTTCCGAAACGACATGGTACCATTTTGTACCATTTTGTATCGTACTGAACTGTTCTATCCTTGGAACCGTATCCGACCCGTTTTACCAATTAAGGGACCGCGCCCACCCATTTTTTCACTCAGCCTATACAGTCTCCGACCATCCCTCTGTGCTCCTGACTTCATAAAGAAAAACCTCAAAGCTAACATTCAGTCACCTGATCGCCTAAGGAATCTCCATTAACAATCAGTTGATTGACAAAGCGTGAAGCTTAAGCTTCAATAGATAGCAAGAAAGAGCGATGGAGGAGAGCAGAATAGCTAGCAATGTGGCTGCTGCCATTGTGGCTGCTCTCGACTGGAACTCTTCTCCTGATGCCCGCAAAGCTGCCCATGAATATATCGAAGCAGTGAGTTATTATTGTTAATAAATTATGCTTAAGTAATTTTTTTACTTCAGTTGAGCTCAGTGTGGGAAATTGGGGTCTTGGGGACAAGCGCCGAGCTTTATATCCTGAAAAATACGTAGCAGTACGGACTAATAGTACTTACGCGTTTTATAGGTTTCAGATCTTTTCCTGTTGAATAATATCAATTCTTACTACAAAGAATAGTATCTATTCTTAGGTGAATGCTATACTTGGATGTTTTTTTTTGAATGAGCTATACTTGGGTGTTAGTAACTGGTGAATGTTAAACTTGGAGTTAGAAACTCCTGAGAAAGAACATTGCTAAATTGAAGAAGAAAAAGAAAAATTTATTGTTATAAACCAACCAATAAACAACATCTTTTTGTCCCTAAGCTTTTTAAAAGAACTTAATTGACACCTTTTAGATTAATTAAGTTGTTTAAAATAAGCAAAAGAAATATGGGATGTCATTAGAACGCAGTGTAGCTATTGTCACTGTTTAATAATGAAATACTTTATGATTGTTTTTTACCCCTTGGTTGCAGACTGGAGATTCTGTTTCAGTTAGTGATGTTTGACAGATGATAACACCAACTCTTCAATAGATAACAAAGTCATTTTTAATCGAAAAAATGGAATTTGAATATGTTAAAAACTTGATATATAAAAATAAAGATTATAATAGATTTCCATATATTGGATGAGTAGTGATTTAGAAAGTTGGGACAGACGTAATAATGTCTTATTTCAAGCTATTGCAAACAATTTTTACAATCAGGCATGAAGGGTTAGGCATGGTCCTCTTCAAGGCTGGAACTGGGTTCATCTCTTTTATTAGAGTTCATAACAGAACTGAAATTCCAGTCTGAAATCAAAACTGGTGTTGGGATAATCTAATTCTAATTAGTCCGTACATGAGCCATAGCCGGACAATTACGGGTTCAATTTTGTTTTTTCTTGTATGAATTTCAATTTTCCTATTTATAACTATCAAATATGGGGTCCAGAACTAGAACTGGCATGTGTATAAACCAAAACCTGCACCAGTTATCCTGGTTCCGGTAAAGGTTTTTCAATATGAAGAACCATATTGCTATTAATGTTGTTTCTTACTTCTTAGATGAAAGTTCATAAATTGCTTCACGTATAAACTATAAATATTAAACATATAACACTAAAAGTGGCATTCTTCTGTTCTCTGTTTAAATTCACAAGAAGTCGCTGTGTAAACTTGTCAGTTGCCATCAGTATTCATAAGTTTTACCCTCTCAACAAATTTCAAGGTAAAAGCAGGGGATGCACATATCTTGGCAAGTACGTTACTTATTTTGGTGAGGAAAGACTGGACTTCCACAATCCGACTTCAAGCATTTAAGATGCTCCAGGTCAGGTTATGATAAATGTGCGGTTAATGTTGTCACTTATTTTTAGTTTCTTACTGGTCACTTTTGTCTCGAAGTCCTTAACACAATTTCTGTGCAAGAATTCAAAGTGATAATTTAGATGTAGAAAATATTGTCTTCCTCATTCCCCATCCCCTCTATTGGTCCCGTGTGACGGATATCACAAAGAAAAGATCTTCAAAAAACAGCTGGTACTGTTAAAATTCGGATTCTGAGTTTTAAAATTTGGTACTAAGTACTAAGTACTAACAATGACCTAGTAGTAAAAACTAGGGAGGTGAACTGCCAAGTCTAGAAGTTGACAAGTAGTTTCGTGTCTTTGATGGCTTTACTTGGCTTTTGAATTTTGAGCCATTCATGTTGCTTCACAGGGACTAATTCTGTTTCAAATTTAATATTAGGTATATTTGGGGCGTGTGTTTCTATGTACTTGCACTTGCATTCTTGCTGATGTATTTTAGTTAATGCCTATTTGTTAATGGAAGTAAAAAAAAGCATACTTACCCCTGATTCCCTGTTAAGCGCAATTATTCTTAGTATCTAGATATATCCACCGATTTACAAGATTATAGAACAAACACACCAAAACCAATGTTTAATTTATATGGCGCTGCCCTTTCTTTACCTGTTTTGCTCTTCCTTGCTACCATCAACTTCTCATATTATTCGCAGAGTCTAGTGCGGTTGCGATGGGATGAATTAAACCCCACCGACCGAAGGAATTTTGCAAATGTGGCTGTTGATTTAATGTCAGATATTGCAAATCCTTGTGAAGAGTGGGCTGTGAAAAGCCAGGCTGCTGCCCATGTTGCTGAGGTTGCTTCTCCTTACCCTTTTCATTTTCACATGTTTGTTAGGGCTGCTATTTGGCGATCTTGCAGTTCTGGCAACTTTATGTTAGTTTACTACAGATATTAAGGAGGGAAGGCATAACTTTATGGAGGGAGCTTTTTCCATCACTACTATCTTTTTCGAACAAGGGTCCTATACAAGTAATTGCTTTCTTTTCTGGCTTGAATGTGTGATGCTTTTTTTAATATTCCTTATTTGCTTTAATTTGGATTCACATAATAATGCATTTTCTTTCTATGCCAGGCAGAGTTGGTTTCAATGATGCTAAGGTGGCTTCCTGAAGATATCACTATTCACAATGAAGATTTGGAAGGTACATTTGTTTACTCTGAGTTCTTCTTTGCTCTATTAAGCAATACAGGGATAAGTATGCACTATGCAGTTTAGAATTAAATGTATCTTGAAGTCTATTCGTGCATGAGTGCATCTTAAATTGTGATGCTTTTAACTCTACTGCTTTCAGCTTTGCCATTATTTTTTCAATTTACTATATATTTATTATATATTTATATACAAATACTTATTTTATTTTATTTATTTATTTATTTATTTATTTATGGATGTATTATCCATCCACCCACCCACCCACTCGCTCAGTCACTCACTCACTCACCCACTCACCCAACCCACTCACTCATTTATTTATTTTATGCATATTCAGGTGACAGGCGGCGGGAATTGCTACGTGGGCTTACAGAATCTTTGTCTGAGATTTTCCCTTTATTATACACTGTGAGTGACCAGCTAGAACCAACTGTAGCCTGAAGTTGATGTTTCATTATTAATATTTTTTCCCATCTGTGTGTGTCAGTTACTAGAAAGACACTTTGGAGCTGCGCTAGCTGAAGTAGCAAGACAACAATTAGACAATGCGAAATTGCATGTAGCAACAGTAATAGCTACCTTAAATGCTGTAAACTCATATGCTGAATGGGCTCCCTTGCATGATTTGGAAAAACATAGAATAATTCATGGGTACACCCCTCCTGATCATTTTTCTTTTTTCCCGTGAACTGTGAGGTACAAAGTAGGCATTTCTCACCTCTTTGTCAAACAGCTGTGGTTGCTTACTCTCTTCTCTTGACTTCCGTCTCCATGCATGTGAGTTTTTCAAACTCGTTTCGTCAAGGTATGCTTGCAACATGGGCTTCTACATCTTCATGCAGAAATATTCAAGTTTCTCGAAACAATTCTATGAGCTGATTTATAGTGAATTTTCATTTGTAGGAAAAGACCTAGTGACGCTGATTCTGAATTTGACTCTGCCGTACGCAATATATTTCAAATATTAATGAACATCTCCGGAGAGTTGCTGCAGAAAAATAGCCCTGATGGCATTCTTGATGAAAATGAATATGAATTTGCAGAATGTGTCTGTGAAAGTTTGGTATCATTGGGTTCTTCAAACTTACAATGTATAAGTGATAACACAACTGCTATATCATCATACCTTCAACAGGTAGTTATTCATACATCTTTTGTTTAAGAGTTGTATGCATCTATGGTTCAAGATGCACAATCTGTGGAATGGAGTACTTGTTGCATAAATTGACGTTTATTTAATCAAATGCCTTTGCGGTTTGATGTGCTATATCAGCGGTGGAGTTGGAATATCTGTTAGTACATTTGTAGTAGTTATTTTACCTTTTCGATTTTATATGTTTCATTGGTTCTTTGATTTTTGTTAGCACATACTATTTCTCACAATAAACGATGCACACCCCAGACCCGACACCAAATTCTCGTTTGTTTTATATTTCACTCTTGAGAGTACATATTTGACTTCACATATGCACACATTTTCTTTCTTTTCCCACATTGATGGCGCTTAAATGCTTAATCAGTGTAACCATTACAAAGGATCTTACACGATTCATTAAAGTTCTTACATGTATAAGTTATTGAATTATGTAGATGTGGGCACTGAAAGAATTGTTTCCCACATGTATTAATAGGATTAGTATTGAGTAATTGACTATTGTATTGATTGATGAGACGCAATCGGGTGTTGAAGCAAAGTTGGAAGTATGACGACAAACATGGGAGACCAAGGGTTTTTAGACTAAGTCGAAACAAGTCTGAGTATATGGAGTGCAAGTTTGGTGGAGGTAGAAGTAGTAGTGTTAGACACCGGTAAATTCAACTCACCACACAGCAGTTCAAAAGGAAAATTCACAAGAACAAGGTAAGAGAGTTTATTGAATAACGAAAGAGAACAGATTGTATACAAGCCTTGGACGATTCGAGATGCCCAGTCTCCCAGTTCTAAGTCCGACAGAATACTTGCCTGCCTTCTCCTTTTCCCCCTTCTTACTACGTAGTATTTATAGTATTTCTATTTATAGTACAAGCCCACTTATTATTATCTACAATAATAGGCCCATTCCTATCAATACTCCCCCCTAAACAACCACCTTGTCCTCAAGGTGGGTGATAGGAATCAGCCATGATCTTCCTCTTCCACTTCATTCTGGCACCTCTCCTTTCCCAATACATTCCAGATTGCTTGGTCATGACCTTCATTATTTGACCTTTCATCGTCACTTCTTTCACAGCAAACAGGAGCAGAAACTGGAGATGAAAACTCCCTGGAATTATGTTGTCAAAGATAATACTTCTTTCACCCATTTCTGCATTGTTCCTATCCCCATTTCCACTTTGACCAAACTTCTCACATGAAATTGAGTGAGGTCCTGATTTAAGAGATTTCAGTTCATGTCCTCCTTCCAGATATTCTTGTGCATGTCCCATGGATTGCTTAATACCACAATTCGTATCCAGTTCCAACCTGAAGATGCATCCAACTTCAACACAATGTTCTTTGCCAACAATGGAGTGCCCTGCAATCCCATTCTTGAGTCAACTAAATTTCTGGCTCCTGAAATAGATGATACCTGTGAATGATTGAGGAATCCATCAACTGTACCAGCTTCAGGTCCTCCAGCTACCGTAGATTGCTCCTCATTTTTGTCTTCCGTCAGTTTCTTGATTACAAGATCAGCGGACTTCAATTGGGTATTCTTTGTCAACTGGGGATAGTCTTGTGCAGGTTGAGAAACAACTGGTGATAGCACTTGCGAACATGAGTATTCCTCTCTCGATTGCTTTACATTTTGCTGTGAATAACTCGCATATGAAAGTGCCTTTGAAGTAGGAACGACAAACGATGCTGACTGCGAAGATTTCTGTGAATGGATGAGGAATTCAACTTGTGATGATGAACTGTAATGACAAACAGTATTTCGCGTAGAAGATTGCGAACTGAGAGTAGTTCTTGGCGAGGATTCCTGGCTTTCTGTCTTCCGCATGCCTGTAGGTTGGAAACGCCGCGTTATGGCTTCCTTCATAGCCTCCCAACTATTGTCTCTCATTTGAGTCTCCCACCATTGAAACCAGTGAATCGCCCTTTCTTCCATAGCCTCAGCTGCAACTTCAACCTTATCTTTTTCTGTAATAGCATAGAAACAGAAATATCGTTCCATCCTATCCATCCATCTAAAAGCGTCATCACCATTGAAAGAAGGTAATTCCATGTCCCTCAAAGTGCGATGCACAGTGCGATGGGGATTGTGCGATGAAACTTGTGCGCTTAGCGAGGAACCCTGAGAACTGGAAGAAGAAGTTTCTCGCGATTTAGAATAGACCTGTGCAATTGGCGACAATCTGGGAGAATGGGTTCGCATCTGCGAACTGAAAAACGACGAGGATTGCGAAGACCTCTGCGGACGGCTGTGAGAAACGGATTGCGATGATGAACTTTGGGAAACTGCTATCGACGAAGATTGAGAACTTAAAGAAGTTGTTGCCATCCGCGATCTCCCTCGGTTCTGAAAGTGTTCTGCCATCGCATCCATTTTTGCTGTGAGAGCATCCAGCGCGGAATGCATCTCCTGCTGATGTCGCTCCAACGATTCCAGTCGATGATCCATTTTGCCTCTCGTTCGAACCCTCCACCTTCGAACGAAAAAAAAATTCTGGATTTCTGTACTTCTCCGATCAATTCTGTAACCACCAGGAGCGTAATGCTCTGATACCAATGTTAGACACTGGTAAATTCAACTCACCACACAGTAGTTCAAAAGGAAAGTTCACAAGAACAAGGTAAGAGAGTTTATTGAATAACGAAAGAGAACAGATCGTATACAAGCCTTGGACGATTCGAGATGCCCAGTCTCCCAGTTCTAAGTCAGACAGAATACTTGCCTGCCTTCTCCTTTTTTCCCTTCCTACTATTTATAGTACAAGCCCACTTATTATTATCTACAATAATAGGCCCATTCCTATCAATTGTGTGAGTAACATGGGGATAACTCTTGATGGCAAGGATATACAATTGTGTGATATGTTCCGTTACTTAGGCTCCATAATTTAGAAGAATGATGAATCAGATGAAGATGTACCCATAAAATCAGAACATGGTGGATGAAATGGAAGAGTGCATCAGGATTTCTATGTGATCTAGGTATGTTGACTAGATTGAAGGGTAAATTTTATCGGACAACAATTAGGCCTGCATTAATGGTGAGCGGTGAAACAATGTCACATTCAAAAGATGAATGTGTCAGAGATGAGTATGGTGGGTTATATGTGTGAACATACCAGAAAAGACCGCTTGAGGATCATCCAAACAAAAGGTGGGAGTAGCACCTATAGAAGATAAGATGCATGAATCTCGATTGTGGTGATTTGATCTTGTGCGCAGAAGGCCGAGTGATAACCAGTTAGACGACTTAAGAGGTGGGGAGAAGAGGCGGAGAGGAGAAGGAGAGGAAGACCCAAACAGACTTGGATTAGAGGAATCCGAACAGATATGCTTCTTCTTGGGTTGGATGAGAGTATGATTTTGGAGAGAGCAAAATGGAGAACGCATATTCGTGCCGACGATTGATCTCTTTTCTTTCTTTTTACTCTGTTTTTCTTTATCTTTTATCTTCTTTATCTTTCTATGTTCTTATGTTATATTTATCTTTTATCTCTCTTATACTCGTTTATCTTTTTATCTTTTATCTTTCTTATGTTCTTATGTTAGTTTTAACGTATATTTATCTTTATCTTATCCATTTTATCTTACTTTATCCTTTTCTTCTTACTTTCTTCTCTTTTTGGCTCCGATATCATGAATCGATTCATGTTAGCCAACCCCAAAATGTTCGGGAATAAGCTGGGATGTTGTTGTTGTTGTTGATGTATCAATAGGATTAGCCTTATGTCACTTTGACCAGATTTTTTGAATGAAGTATCACTTGTTTAATTATGATTCAGATGCTGGGATATTTCCAACACTGTAGGCTTGGACTTCATTATCAATCTCTTCTCTTTTGGCAAGTATGGATCCTGATACCCTTTTTATTTATCAAGATAGTTCAACCATAGTTCAACCTTTTCATGTTCAAGCTTAACCTTTTGTCATGATTTCTTGCTATAATAGGCATTTATGAGAGATTTGATTTGCAAGCTAAAGATTGCATCTGGTGAAAGCTCTGTTAACAAGGGCACGATATCAGAGCATGCTGACATGGGAAAGAGAAAAACTTTTTCTTGTCTTAGTGATGAAATGTGTAGCTCTATGTTAAATATATCTTTCCAACGGTTGCTCAGGAAGGAAAAAATCCACCCTGGAACTTCACTTTGTCCTGGAACATTAGAGTTGTGGAATGATGATTTTGAGGGAAAAGGAGACTTCAACACATATCGTTCTAGGCTGGTATGCTGTATATGTACAAATAAAAAGACAATATTACCACATCCCTTTTCTACAAAAGAAATGGTAAAGTGAAATGAAAAGAACTTGGAGAGCACACTAAGGTGAAAATTGGCACTCATAAAATAATTAGTCAAATTGCCTTAAGGCTGTTATGCTCTAAAATGTGTACAGACTATCCCACCTGCCCCCTCTCCCACCCCTGCTGCGTAATAACAAGCCAAATTGGTTGGCCTATCGATTCTATATTTATTTAATCTAGTCTGCTGCATTGTTTAGCATATGATATACTGGTTTTTGATTGGTGCTTTCCAGTTTCCACAGTTAAATTCGTGATGTCTTGTGTTTTCTATTATTGATCACCGATCCTTGGTGCAGCAAGAGTTGATTCGTTTTGTTGCAACTGAAAAGCCTGTATTAGCTGCTACAGAGGTTTCTGACAGAGTAATGACAATTCTTAAAACAATGCTACTTATGTCCACACCTGCACAGGTTTGTACTGAAATGATTTTGCACAGGTTGATAATTGTTATCCTAGGAAAAGGATTGTTGCATTCATGATTTTGCATTTTGTTTTGTTTTTGTCAGTGATATCTTCATAGTCGTATACATTCTTTAATATCCATTGCCTTTTATTCCAGGAACTGTCTCTTCTTGAAAGCATGCACTTGGCTCTAGAAAGTGTTGTAAATGCAGTTTTTGATGGACCACATGAATTTGAGAGAAGAAACCCTGAAGTTCAAATTTCATTATGCAGAATATTTGAGGGTCTCAAATTAACTTAGTAGATTTCTGAAACTTTAGATGGCTTTATTTTTTGCTGATAATTGCTTTACTGTCAACTGAAGGTCTACTTCAACAAATTCTTTCTTTGAAATGGACTGAACCAACACTTGTAGAAGCCACTGTGCACCATCTAGACGCATTGGGACCCTTCTTAAAGTACTATCCAGATGCAGTTGGGAGTGTCATAAATAAACTGTTTGAGCTTCTGGCCTCTCTGCCTATTTTTGAGGTTGACCTGTGTGCCTAACCTTAGAAGCACGTGCACACACACACACATATTCCAAGACGGCAGTTGGTGATGACCAATTTTCTGGCAGGACCCTGCTACAAACACTGCACGCCATGCAAGATTGCAAATATGTACGTCTTTTATTCGAATAGCCAGAGCAGCAGACCAGAGCATTCTACCGCATATGAAAGTAATGTTACTTTTATCTTCTAATAAATAGCTGGAAACAGCAATGCATAAAATTGCTTTGCAAAGAAAAAGAGCACTGTCTATCCAGTGCTGAAGCTCCCACATATTGGTGGGTCCGGGGGAAAGAAACTTCTAATTAGTCATCCCCTTGATTTTGCAAGGAGGCCGATTTGAGCTTGTGGCATACAATATACATTAGTCCAGAGACTTCACCATTCCGCCATACTTCCCCTTCAAAATCACACTATATTAATATTATTAACTTTAATTACTTAAGTTTCAAATATGTATGAGCTTAAAATGAGGACAAAAACAGCATATATTGAGCCTCAACGAAATTATGCTACCTTAAAGGCCGATTTTGATAGAGACTCCAAAAATTGACTGTAAATTCAGTGTATTATTGAAGAGCTTGTGCGAATAACAATGGTAGAAAACAGGGAAAAACAGGAAGGTAACGGGACTGATTCAAGAGCGTCCCCCTCTCCCAAGCAAATATCCAATTTCTGCCTACCTCTATTCCTCCCTCCTCCCCCCTTTTATACAATTTCTATTCTTAAAGGCCGGCCCATACTTCATGAATTACATGGCCCAGAACCTTTATTTGTACAATAACACCCTATTTAATAATATTCTATTATTCTTATTATTATACTAATCTGCCCGGATCCTATCATATGTCCCCCCTTAGACAACCACCTTGTCCTCAAGGTGGGTGATAGGAAACAGCCTTGACCAACAGCTTCATCTTTTCGCCTCTCCCTTCCTAGTACATCACTGATTTCTGGACCTTTAACTTCAGCACTTGTCCAACATAAGGTAAAATTTGAGAAACGAAGGACGGGATGCAACCAGGAGCTGTCCTGGCAGCAGCCTGTAGTGTCACAAGCACTGAAGCACCGGATGCACAATTTTTTCCAACAGGTTGGTGAGTGATGAAATTAAGTCCCTGATATGTGGCCATATGACTCCAGAGCATCAGTAAAAAGCTGTGAAAGTGCTCGACCAGCAGATGCCCAATCAGCAATTCCAATTGGCCTACTTTTTTTGGATGGTGACTCTCCCGAGGACTTGGAACTAGTAGTTACCAAAAGAGGGTTCATGGTAGAACCAAATTTCTTTTTGACAGATAATTTTCCCTAGCAGTTCCAGATCTGTCAGTCCAGGTTGGGACATCCATACTCTCTTGCCTCTGAAGCATTCGTGATGGGCACAATGCTTCTGCCGCTTTCTGTGCAGCTTGTGAGGCTGGCTTCTCTAGCTTTAGTTTCTCTTCATTGTGAGCATTCATAATGGCATCATGATCCAATACACTCTGAATCCCATTTGCATAAAAAAGACTCGGCAATATACTATTTTTTTCCACTACTTCACCATTGATGTTTTAAGCTTTCTCCTTCTCTTTGCCATTGCTTCTTGAGTCGTTTTCTTTTCCCACAGCAGTGTTCTGATATGCTGGCTTTGTTTAAGTATATGTAGCCAGTTCCTGGTCGGGGCGTTGAGGCCCAGTAATATTTATATTATCATTTAACTGACTGCAGACACTAGATGTTTTTGTAGAGCTATTTACCCCATCCTCATCTCTTTTCTTGAGTATCTTGATCCATTACCAGCATTAACTATATGAAACAGGTAGTCAAAACCTACTGCTTCCTCTTGAACATGTATACAAACTGGTGGCAGCCCCCTAACATCTTCACCAACGATTGTGGCATCTGGGAAGAGACCAGGAAAGAGATCTTTGACCAGCATCAGATACACGTTAGCCTCAACATCAGTAACATATCCAACATACTCCTTGCAATTTGCAGTAATCCTTACCCCCCCCCCCCCCCCCCCAACCCATGGTGAGTGCACATCATAGAAGTAACACCATCTAATCTAAAGCCATCAATACCAATAGCTCCTCTATCGGAACCAACGTACATATAATGACATGATCCTGAGCCCAACTTGATAGCTAAATTATGGTAATGTTCTGGTGTAGTTCGTACATACCTGTTAGCATCACGGATCAATGTGCTGTTTCTAAAGATGATAACAGATTCCCCGCAGTTAGCAGCCAGAATAGTGTGTGCAGCATAAGGTTCAGTCAGAGATTTCTTAGAAGTGAATTCTAAGGATATTTCCCAGTCAACCAGCTTTGGTTGGACCCTTCGAATCACAGCTGCCTGGAAGGACTCCCAGTTACGTTCATCAGTAGCATCAGTGTATGAGGTGAGGATTCCCTGTTTAGATTCAACAAGAGTTTTCTTATTGGTAACTGTACTCCTTTTGGACTTGCAATCCAGCACACCTAAGACTAATTCAGACCTCACATCAAACTTCTTCCTAAGCTTTACTATTTCAAATCCAGACATATGTCCTAGAGGACAATTCACTTTCACACCAATTTTCAAAATTCCCACAAAAACTGTCAACAGTAATCACCTTCCCCTTTTGTTCTCTCACAGGCTTGGCATCTGAATTAGTGAAAACTGATCCTTTGAATTCACTAGTCTGTGAATTATCAAAACAGGAGGCTCCACTTGGGCTGGATCTACTTTACCTGGACGCATTCCATTCTCTTCCATCACAGGCGTGTTCGGACAATTCTGAATATCTGGTGGAGATTCCGTAGGTTCAGTAGTATCCTCGTCCTGCTCTGGTTCTGGGACTGATGGTGCAACCGACAAGCCCTTTCCTGATTCTACAAGGTCGACGGTTCTGGATGCGGATGACACTTGCGCACTGGGAGAAGCCGACTGCGACCAATCCTGCGAACTGAGAGGAGCGGTTCGCGACTGCGAACTGGGAGAAGATGTTGGCGAGGAAACCTGCGGACTGAGAAAAGCTGCTTGCGACGGCGACAAACCTTTGCTTTCCGAATTCCGGCACCGTCTCACATTCCGCGACGAACCTCTAGGTTTCCGGCGATTTTGATCTTTCAGCCAGTTACAAAGGTCGACCCACCTTGTTTCGGCCTCATGCATTGTCCGGACCATCCTTGATCGTGTCTCGGTAACGTCTGTTCCCATTCCTCCAATCGTTGCTCCATTGTGCTCTAGCGATGATATAAAAAAGCTGTCGTTGATGCTCAGGTGATGATCCTCCACTGTCCTCCAGGATGAGTGCTCTGATACCAATGATAGAGACTCCTAAATTGACTGTAAATTCAGTGTATTACTGAAGAACTTGTGCGAATAACAATGGTAGAAAACAGAGAAAGACAGAAAGCTAACGGGACTGATTCAAGAGCATCCCCCTCTCCCAAGCAAATATCCAATTTCTGCCTACCTCTATTCCTCCCACCTTCCCCCTTTTATACAATTTCTATTCTTAAAGGCCGGCCCATACTTCCTGAATTACATGGCCCAGAACCTTTATTTATACAATAACACCCTATTTAATAATATTCTATTATTCTTATTATTATACTAATCTGCCCGGATCCTATAAGATTTTGAGGGCAGGTTATCTTCAGCGTTCGAAACTATTTCGGCAAAGATTTGCCTTCCTTAAAGTTTCAGTTTCTTGCAAGGGTAACCATGCATTAGCCCATGTTTATGATAATCAAGATCTTTTGTCTTATAAATATGCGTACTAAACTACTAATGCCTGATAAAAGTACGCACTTTTTGTATGCTGCTGTCGATTTTAAGTAGTGTAATTGTGGGAAAGTTTCTATACGAATGCACAACCTTACAAATGAATGATTACCTGAAAATGGTTGCTGCATCCTGTTGCAGGGGATTGCAGACACAATGTCATTATTGCAGAGTGAAGGTCGTTTACTTCGTGGGGAACATAATCTTCTAGGAGAAGCATTTCTAGTCATGGGATCTTCTGCTGGGTAACTTGCTTCATTATATTTACTCCCTCTGAAAAGTCATATTTCAGACATTTCTTTTGTCCCAAAAAGGGTCGGTCCAGTTTGATCTAACAAATCTAATTTTTAGTCGATTTTTGGTTTGTCAAGAAATTGTTAAAAAGAGTTGCATTTAAGTTACATATGATAAATTTAGTTAAACCAACAAATAAATTTAAAACATTTATGTATGATGCATGATTTATGAAAATAGTACCTTACCAAAATTAATTAGTTGTAGATTGCTCATACATGACTCTTTTTTGGGATGAAGGTCATATAGTTTGTATGACTACATGGTGTCATACGACTTTTACATGTTCTCTAATTTTATTCAGGATGGAACAGCAGAGACAAGTTCTGGCCTGGTTGCTTGAACCATTAAGCAAGCAGTGGACACAGACTGAATGGCAAGATGCATACCTTTCAGAACCAGCAGGGTTCATTCGCTTGTGTGCAGACACGACGACTATGTGGTCTGTTTTCCACACAGTTACATTTTTTGAAAAGGCTCTAAAAAGAAGCGGTATTCGAAAAGTGAATACAACAAATTCACAAAACTTACAAATATCAGATTCTTTGCACCCAATCGCTCCTCATTTGTCTTGGATGCTGCCTCCTCTTCTTAAGGTAAGCACATGCACTCCTCCTCCTCCTCCTCCTCATCATCATCAGCATTATCATTACCCCAGTGCCGCAAAGGCTTCCACCTACGGTGGGGTAAGGAGGGGTCGGATGTACGCAGTCTTACCCCTATACTAAAGCACAGAGAGACTGTTTCCGGATGACTCAAAGCACATGTACCCCTCTTGAACTAAAATAATTGATGTTTTTGAGAAGTGCACACATGTTAATGCTAAGAGCGCTCCAATAAGATCTCGTCTTAGTTCAAGAATGAGAGAACGGAAGCAAAAGAGGGTAGAAAGATAGATCAATTTTCAGATCTGGATGAGCACAAAGAGAAAATGATAATAACAAGGCTTTATCAGAACTAATATGGTGTCTGACCTAGTAAAAGAGCCCATTATGGTGGAAGACTAGAGGCCCCTTGTGTGGCTTGAGTAAGAACACAGGGAAGACGTGAATACGATTAGCTGGTCGTAACTGGAGCTGATACACAGTTTTTCCTGTACAAGCTGTGACTTGGAATGACCCGTAGTACTTTGGTAGATGTTTGTGATGGCGTTAAGTCAAGGAAACTTGGCGATTGTTAATGGGGGAGTGATGATATGGATGCATTATGGGACCATGCCCAACAGCCAATGCAAGTTGCGCCAAAAGAGCACAGCCCATGCACATGAGGCCCAAGCAAACAGGACACTAAAAGTGGCTAAATTTGGGTAGCAAGACTATTTCAAATTCTTATTATCGTTATGTTCCTATTAGTATTAAGTCTCTTATGTTAGCTATATAAGGGACCCTGGTATTGATTGATAAAGCACTCTTGGAAGATTTGATTCATGGGTGTCTTGACTAGGTCGGCACTGGATTATTCCTACAAAGACTTGTTATTGTCGTTTAATATTAAATTCATTTAATTTCTTTTCAAGATACAGAAGCATTTAATGTAGGGAGGGAAAATATGGGCAAACTTGGAAGAGTGGGGATATATAAACACACACACACATACATATGTGTGTGTATGCGTTTTTGAATTCCTGAAACACTAATTAGTTTGGGACGTATTATGAAAGATTATGTTAAACAAAGATCAATTTGCCGATGTTTTAACCAAGTCTCTTAGAGGTCCTAGGATGGAATATATTTTTAACAAGCTTGGTGCATATAATTTATATGATCCAGCTTGAGGGGATTGTTGAAACCCTAATTATATTGGGCTTAGCCCAACTTGTATAGAAACCCTAATACTCTAGTTTTAGCTGTAACTATAGTTACTTGTATAGTTCTTTTGTATCAAGACTTATATGAATAAAATCAGTTCATACAATTCACAAACATTATCAAGGCTTTATCATTATTATTTTTCAGCTGCTTCGAGCCATGCATTCTCTTTGGTCTCCATCTGTGATGCAAACATTACCTAGAGAAGTAAAAGCTGCAATGATTATGAGTGATGTTGATAGAGCCAGCCTTTATGGAATGAACCTTAAACTTTCAAAAGGGTTCTCAAATTCTACTGATGGATCTTCTTTTGAAATGAAGGATGGTCAACCAGAGCCAAATGACACTAATGTACGCAATTGGCTGAAGGGAATAAGGGACAGTGGGTATGTACCTTGTGTTTTGAATTATCTGTGAATGCTTAGTCTGATGCCCTGAAATGAAAGGATCATAGTGTGTGTAGAGAGTGCCATGTCGATGTTATCCATAGTCTTTGGTAAAAAGAAAAACAGAGTCCTCTTTAGTATTTAATATCGGAAGTTATAGAAGATTGCACTAGGGAAAATACATTTTATGGGAAAAGGACATTTTCAGTACACTAGGAAGTGGTAAAATATTTTTGTTGGATTTGAATAGACATCTTGTAGGAAGTTGCAACATTAGTAGTGCCCTGAAAGACTTCTGAGTTTGTTTCCTCTAGAGGCATCATCACATCATCGGATTAAAATAACAAACAATATGAAAGAACAAAGTAAAATAATGGAATAAGATGATGGTCTCAAATATCCACTTCTTTCCATTGAGGCACTACACCATTAGTTTTTTTTTAATTTTAGTATTGACCTAGCATGAAAAGATACATAGTTTTTTTTTGTGAAGAGAGGGTGAGCCTCTGCCGTGCTTGATATTTTATTGGAAGTGTGGATGTCTACTATCATCCACTTAAAGTTCTTCCTAAATGTGTTTGAAGAAACTTAATACTATTATGGGAGAACTGTCAAATAGACCCTCATACTATATCAAAAAAGTCAATTAGACCCTCGTACTTTAAAAACATCCAATTAAATCCTCAAACTTTAAGAAAAAGATCAATTCAGCTATTTTATAAGTCACCAACCGGTTTCCCGGTTAACTGCAGACGTGGCAACCCACGTGGCAATTATTTCCTATTTTTTCGTTTTCTTTGGTTCTTTTTTTCTTTCTCTTTCCTGTTGTCTTTCTTCCTCGCACATATATCACCAAGTTGAAGCCATATAGATGCTGACCAGGGATTCGACACATTCCTTGACAGTCACCTCGTGTAGCGTCCCTAGACGATGTTCTGTCTTTGGGGCGTTCCACGTCAGATGAGGTTTTATTGCACGGTGGAGTCTTTCGGAACGGAGAACAGTTCCTTCTTTATCCCAGAGCTTGTCCCCGTCAAAAATCAAAAAGAGTGGTCAATTGGTCAAATATGGAGTTTACCGCCGACCGCCTCATCCTCTAAATGCAATTAAAAAATATTCTTGAGACCTTACATCGTGGCTTGGCATCCTGCATCTGTGGTTCACTGCTAAATGAAAATGGGAAGGGAGGTTCATTTTATGGCCTCACAGCTTTTGAGGATGAAATAAAGCAAAAATAATAAAATTCCTCTCTTCTTATCGCCGGAGAAGATGACACCAGTAGCTGACACTCTGACAGGTCCCGGAGTCGTCAAATGAAAACCCCTCTTGCAGAACCATTGAAGGTCCCCCTCTGCGGCGGCGGCCGGTGAAGGTCGAATTCGAAGCAAACCCCTACCCTATGGCAACAACAATGCAAGGTCCGCTTTCTCCTCTGGCAGCAACGATATTGATTCTGAAGCTGGTTGAAAAGTGATGTAGCCAGGAAGAAAGCACAAGGTAGCCAGATGCCCAGATCCCTGCGAGGAAGAAGAGGACGGCAAACGAAGAAAGAAATAAATAAATAAAAGAAAAGAAAAATAAATAATTTCCATGTTGGTTGCCATGTGTGCAGTTAACCGGCAAACTGATTTGTGATTTTAATTAGAAAATAGCTGAATTGATCTTTTTCTTAAAGTTCGACGATTTAATTGGGTGATTTTAAAGTATGAGGGTCTAATTGACTTTTTTGATATAGTACAAGGGTCTATTTGACAGTTTTCCCTACTATTATATACTACCTCCGTCCCACAATGATGGTCATGTATTTCCTTTTTGGGATGTCCCAAAATGATGGTCCTGTTTCCCTTTTTGGAAAGAAAGATGTGGTCCATATTATTTCACTTTATTATACTCAAATCTCAACCACAACTTTTACCTTTTCAACCACATTATTAAAACTTGTGCCCAAAAGAAATGAGACCATCAAATTGGGACGGAGGGAGTATCCATTTTCTTTAATGTAGCACACTTGAAAAACACAACAGGTGCATTTTTTAAAAAAATGGTTGAGGTTATAGTACATTTTTTGGTAACAAAATTTCATTTGACTAGGTATAACGTGGTGGGCTTGTCAGCAACCATCGGTAGTTCTTTTTTCAGAGGCCTAGATTCTCAGTCCATGACTTTAGCCTTGATGGAAAATATACAGTCTATGGAGTTCAGGCATATAAGACCTCTTCTTCATTTAGCGCTGATTCCCATAGTTAAAAGCTGTCTTCCAGATCTTTGGGAAGTGTGGCTTGTAAGACTGCTGCAGCCATTACTTCTTCACACTCAACAGGCTCTTAGCTGTTCATGGTCTGGTCTGTTACAGGAAGGGCGGGCAAAAGTTCCTGATCTTCATGGGATACTTGCGGGTTCAGACTTGAAAGTGGAAGTAATGGAAGAAAAGCTGCTTCGAGATCTAACACGGGAAGTTTGTTCTTTGCTCTCGGTTATTGCTTCACCAAGTTTGAATCCCGGTCTTCCTTCAATTGACCATCATGCGAACGCCAACAGGGTGGATCAATCGACTCTTAAGGATTTGGATGCTTTTGCACCAAGCTCTATGGTTGGGTATGTAAGAGAGTTGTCTGTATAGTGTGTTCTTATTGTCCAGTAAAGTAGTTTAGCCATCAAAGAGCTGAAGTGTTCGTGCTGGGAACTAACGAGGGGGGAGGATGGGGGGGTGCTATTGTGTCCCCCTTGTTCCTTTTTGTTCTGAACTAGGAGATGGGAGTATATGGAGACAATGCCGGAACAACCACACAACTGTTTTTTCTGAATATTCAAGGAACAAAATCTCTGAAATATTATATCGAATTATTGAGTTATCAAATCACACCCCCTTTATCATAATAATAGTAATAATAATAATATTAGCAGTAGTAATAATTAGGTAAATTTACTGAAATAGAAGTAAAAATGTTTGAGAATTCCAAAATAGGAGTACTATGTTTTTATTCCCTAAATAGGAGTAATTATTGCCAAATTCGGAAAATACCGCTATGTTTAAAGTATGGTAATGCTAAAACATAGCAATCATATTTTGGAATTCACAAATGTTTTTACTCCTATTTAGCGCAATTTCTTTAAGAATAATTACTAGTACTACTCTAGTAGTAATGGTAGAATATTAATGTGAAGTATTGAAATTATAACCCTAATCCCATCTCTCATATTCTAGATCTACTGGTTTGTTTCGAATTAGCGAACGATTCAGACTGTTCAAACATAAGAATAACTAGTACTCCATCCGCCCCATTAGGAGGTTCCAATTACGGTTTACGATGCTTGACTGACGATAAAACAACTTAATCCCTTCTCACACTTTGATTTTTTTTAGTAAATAAAATTTACATATTCAGAAACTACATTAAAACCGCTACAAAGCCTGATAAAAAAAATGTAAATTTGATAAAAATTTGATATACAAAGCAAAAGATTAAGAATGATTTAAGTTGACCATGTGAATAGTGGACAGGAACCTTTGAATGGGACGGAGGGAGTATTATGTAATTATTATCATTATAATTACTTTATTAGTATAAATATATTGAATTTGTTGTGTCTTGGGCCCTAATAGGTACCATTGTCTTAAAATCTAAGAAAATGTTATTTCCTGTGACAGGCTAGGAAAACTATAGCCTAACATGTTTGTGTAGTACAACATGGTAACATATTTTGTTGAACTGTGATTCATTTGCAGCTATCTCTTGAAACACAAAAGTGTGACAGTCCCAGGGTTGCAAATTTGTTTAGATACTTTTAGATGGACTGATGGTGAAGCTGCAGCTAAAGCTTCCATATTCTGTGGAGCCATAGTTGTGTTAGCCATCTTAACAAATAATACAGAACTGAGAGATTTCGTCTGTAAGGATCTATTTTCTGCACTGATTGAAGGTTTAACTCTGGAATCGAACACCTTTATAAGTGCAGATTTAGTTGGTCATTGTCGCGAAATCTTCGTTCATCTTGGTGATAGACACCCAGCACCGAGGCAGGTTTGTGGAATCTCTTACCCTGAATAGTGCCTCTTTTCTAAGAGTTCTTGCATGGTAGTAGTTTGATTCATGGAAAAACCTGCAGTGCTACATAAGTACAAACACCCATTGCTCTAACCACACCACTAAAGCATTGTCCTTTGTGCATTTAGTGGTTCCAGCTATGACAGATATGGCCACCCACCATTGTCCACCATTAGTAGGCGCTGACTGGTCACCGCGTTATGAAGTGGAACAGAGTTGCTTAAGAGCCCAATTCGCAAGACCTGAAGTGGCCAAGCCAGCTGACTTTAATCAAGTTTGGGCTGAAATGGTTGAATGTGTTAAATCTGAAGAATCGGAAAATTATTTAAAATATATTTCATAAATAAACTAAAGAAAATGATAATATAATAAACTTTGAAATGATATTTTCCAAAGTTTTAGCCATTTCAACCCAAAAAAGTAACTTTTGCTTCTTTTTATTCTGCATGATTTCTTTTCATTATCAGCTGATTAGCACATTGAAATAAGTAAGCTATTGGTTAAAATGTGGCTGATAAGCCTTAATGGGCCCTCAAGTTATTTGAGTAGATCTGATATGTTTGAGTGTTGCACTAAATGCCCAAACAGCAGTGCTTCAGTGGTTTGAAAGGGGGAGGATACGGGAACCTGTCATGTGTACAATTAGTCGGTCTTCAAGTTATTTAAGAGGGACTGAGTTGAAAAAAAGAGGGACTGAGTTGTTCAAGTGCCACATATGGCAGTGCACACATGGTCCAACCACCGGAGGTTGTCATATGTGCATTTGGTGGCCTCTCAAGTTATTTAAGTGGACCAAGTTGCTTAAGGGTCACAAAAATTGCACACATGGCAGTTCTACAGTGGTTGATGCTCCAAGACCTGTGGATAACATTTTTTCAGCATACACAATGGCAAACTGTTGAACCTAGTTTGTTTTTAAAATAAGAGTGTGTTTATATATATATAATATCACATGTTCTTTATTTTGAGCAATTCCAGCAAAAAAAACGCATGCACCATTGTTTTCATTCTTAACCAATTCAACCATAGCAGACTTGCAGTTAAGTAAAATAATTTCTGGTGATATTTTTTGGCCGTTAAACTGAAAAAGGTAATAGCAAATATAAACGGGCTTTGAATTTTATTTGTAGGTAGTCTTTGTATGTCATGTAGATGGATCTAATCATCTTTACATTTTTATCCTTGCAGATTATACTCTCTCTTCCTCAGATAACCTCCCAAGATCTCCTTGCCTTTGAAGAAGCTTTGGGAAAGACCAATAGTCCCAAGGAACAGAAACAACACATGAAAAGTTTGTTGTTACTGGCAACAGGAAACAGGTTAAAAGCACTTGCTGCCCAGAAAACCGTGAATGTCATAACGAATGTGTCAGGTTATAGTCTTATCCACTTTTCTAGTCATTCAAATCCTTAGGCAAGTATCATGCTAAAACCAATGGCAACGAAGAATCACTCCCATGCATGATATTGATACCTGAATTGTTAGACAAATGGTTATTTATGCTTTGTTGCTGGAATAACTGTTGGGAAATTGAGTTTTAAGATTTTCCCGTGTTTGGTTCTCACAAATATTTCATATTACTCTTTCTAACTTCTAGTGGGAAATGACTTTTCGTGTTAAACATTATATTAAACAGGGATGAAAGTGTCTAATTTCTGAATCTTCATTATACGTCTCTGACAGCATTTGGAAGAACACAATATCTGTATGGTATACATAACTATTTATTTGTCGTTTTCCCAGCAAGGCATCGCAACACAACTCCTGCCCAAGAATCCAAAGCTGGCGATGGAGAAGCCATTGGCCTAGCTGCAATTATTAGGTAATATAAGAAGAAGAGTTGAGCCGACATTGCTATATTTTTGTACAAACAGAATGTTCTACTATTGGATACTTATTCACCCCCACTTGGAAGTTGTTAATGACAGGCGTATTTTTTTTTGCATGAAAAGATAAAATTTTATTTAATAAAGATACGAAGAACTACAAACACCAATGGGAGGAAACAAAGAATCACTCCGTAAGAGCCCAATTACAATGAATCGTTTCAGATAGAACAATAGGCTAATTTTTTTGCCAATATGCAAGCAATTCTTCTGGACAGTCAAGGGCCTTTCCAATTGAGACCTCAACTTCTATATTCGATGACTTAATCGGCCTAGCAATTCATGGTCACTCAAGGGCCTTTGCGAAGGCATGGAAAATTGTCACCTGAAGTTTTTTCATCACGAGAGTCATCATCATCAGCCTCTGAATGAGAGCCACCAATCCCACCATTAATTAAGAGAGTACTTAATCTGCCTTTGGACCAGGAAAGAAACATGATTACGTCAATGACCATCCCCTTGTTATAACTTATAAGCCTTCTCCTCAGCTTCATTATCTGTGCCCCTAAAGCGACCTTTTCAAATATCTTCCCAACATCTTTCTCTAGCACAAGACATCTTTATTAGTGAAAACCCGGTACCTGGCCCGGCCTGGCCGACCGGGACTGGAGGCCTGAACCGGGGGATTTTGGGGCGGGTGGGGCTGGGTGGTTTGGGGGGGTTTGGGGGTGGGGTGGGGGTGGGGGGTAGGAATAAATTAGAAAAACCAAAATTTTAAAAAAAAAATCCTAGACCCGGCCCTGGCCCCGGCCCAGCCCAAGTACCAACCTGGGCTGGTACCGGGCCTTCATCCCAATACCCAGTCTTGCCCCAATCCCGACCCGGGGCCCGAACCGGGCCTGGTCCATCCCTAGTGAAATCCATTCCCTGCAATATCCAATTGCTCTTGCTTAACTTCTGTAGTTTTACATATTAAATGGATACAACTAGAACACAAACCCAGCACTCTATAATAATAGTTCTTCCCCAATTTTCAGAAGTCATGAGATGAATAGATCCTCCACATTTGTTGACCTCAAAAGATAATGAGTTTTTGTGAAAACGTTCATACCTTGTAAATGAAGTAATGGGAGGAGCATGGTGACTAGTTGAGTAAACAACTTTTTCATTAAAGTCGCCTGTTGGTTCATGATGCAAGTTGCTATCTGGGGGTGATTTGTGAGTTGTGACTGATGAATATGGCTTGTTTTAGAGTAGTTTGGGCGTGACTAGGGATGGACCTAGTCAGTGGTCCCGGATGGAATCGGGCCCGCTACTGTGCGGGATCGAACCGGGTCCGGTTTTCCGGTCTCGAACTTGGACCGGTCACCCGACTGGGTATTTTACGGTCCCTACGGTCAAAATCTTTTTATAAAAAAAAGTAAGGGGGGTGGGCTGGGGGATGAACTAGCCGTTTGGAACGGCTAGTAACGACAACAATGTCATTGGGTGGGGGTCAAGGGAGTGGGGGTCGGGGTGGGGTGCCAATTGTTTTTCTATATATACAGATATACTTGACCTTTTTATTCACTTTTTCACACTATTGAACTTCTACTCAATTTCTCACTCTCAAATTCTCAATTTCTAATTCTACATTATTCACATATACACTTTCATCTTTCATACGGAGTATATTCATATTATAATTATATTTATATACTTATTGATTATTATACTATATAATTAATTATTTATAATTTCTATTTCTACATTCCTAATCCTACACTTTCATATTTACTATATTATATTATAACTAGTATTTCTAAGCGTGTATGCACCGGTAAAACTTTTCTTTATTTTCTCTACAATGTGAGGAAGACACGTTTAGTTATAAGAATTTGGAATAATTTATGAAAAAATTCTACTAATACGAGGTTTTACTTTTTAAAAAATTGATGGATAAAAATGTTATTTAGTAACTATTTGTGATTATAATTATGTTCACAAAATACAATATATCTAGTGACTATATGATGTATTCTTTGAACACAATTATAGCTATTAAAATTTCTAAGTCACATTTTTATAAACTTTTACTATAAATACACAAATAAAAATGACTAAACATGGCGACAAATAATATGAACTAAACAGTACTTAAAATACGTAGTACAGTTTAAGAATTTTTTGGATGGATAAAAAATAGTTTGTGCTTATGTTTATGCTTTATAGGAGAAAATATTAATTTCAGTCGTAATTCTTCGAAAACCACAAAAGTTGATAACAATATTAAGTCAATTCAAAAGTTTACAACTATGTAAAAACTGTTGTCTACGTATTAAAATTAATAGCATTGAAAATATAAATAATAAATAGATAGGGAAACACATACACAGAAAATTCAATCAACCATTCTTGATGTACACACCTTTGTACACACCTTATGCACACCATGTTTGTGAAGCTTTTTTTTTGTCTGTGAATCCAGTTCACAAACAATATTTTGTTTGTGCAAAACATTGTCTGTGAATCGATGTTCACAGATAAAAAAAAAGCTTTCACAGACATAGGTGTGTATAAAAGTGTGTATAAGAGTCACTACGTATTTTAGGCAGAGTAATGGTGGAGGACCACTTGCTATACCGTGGGAGCTAGGGGTGGGTTCGGTTCTTTCGATTCGGTTTTGACCTAAAACCAAATACATAACCAAAGTAAAAGTTTGGTTCGGTTTCGGTTCGGTTTTACACTCCAAAACTTCAAACCACGGTTTGATTGATTCGGTTTGTTTCGGTTCGGTTTCGAGTTTTTCGGTTTTTTACTAAATATTTGTCATTTAATTTAAAATTGATATAAAAGTTGGATGGATCAAATATATTACCTAAAAATGCAAGCATACTTAAACAAATGAAGAAAATAATAAACAAATATGTCTTGAATTATATGAGTATGCGGGAGAGATAAAAGTGTGTATCTATTCTTAATTTACCATGTTTGTGATTAGTTTGAAAAACGTTTATGAATACATACGTCCTGTGTGATTTAGCCGAGATGAATATTTATTTGTTTTATCAATATAAAAAAGTTAAGTTACAAAAAAGAATTAAGTTACATAAAAATAAAAGTTAATTACTACTAATAACTAGTAAAAACATATAATCATGCAATAAATTGCAACATACATACATAAAAGACATAATAGATCAATATAGCTACATTATTATGGGCAATGAATGTGTAAATGCATTTATAAACTAAACTAAACATATCATAAACATTATTTCTCTAGCACAAGAAATTCAAAGATTATTGATGATATTAAGATTAATGCTTACATTTAACAAATAAAATTTCATATTTTATTTATGTTCGGTTTGTTCGGTTTGATTCGGTTTTGAAGGGTAAAAACCAAAACCGAACTAAACTACGTACTACGGTTCGGTTCGGTTTTTACATGCGGTTTCGGTTTTTAGCGGTTCGGTTTTATTTGGTCGCGGTTCGTTTTAATTTGATTCGGTTTTCGGTTTGTTGGACCCAGCCCTAGTGGGAGCGGTGCACCGTGAGCATCCTGCTCCCAAGGTTATATAAAATGTAAATCGTGTGAATCCATATGTAACTTAAGGTTTATCAAAATGTAAATTATACTCATTCAGATGTAACTCGTTGAAATGTAAATTCCTTTAACTGAAATGTAACTCGGAAGCAAGTCAGATGTAACCTGGGAGATGTAACTTCAACCCTTTGAAATGTAAAACGCCTTTACGGACATGTAACTTCCGCCCAAAAACTGATTCTTACAATCATACTTTTAGTGGCCAAAACTCTTACATTAATTTTAGACCTTTTGGGAGGGCTATCAGATTTTGGGAAAGCTTCACCAAAAGTGGTCATCTGAAACTGCTTCACATGTCTGCGTGAGGTCAGAGTACAGAGCATGGAGGCACCTGCGGAGATGGGCTTCAAGCTGGTTGGTCATCAAGAGGTGAGGAACGATGGTGTCGCGGATCTGGGAGAGGAATATGGGGGAGAAGAGTCGCGCAGGGAAAAAGAAAGTCGTGTTGGGATATTTTACTCACTTTTGGGACCGGGCACACCATCCTCATGGTGCGCCGGTCATAGGGTATAATTTGTAGGAGTGGGCATTTCGGTTTTCGGTTCGGTTTTCTTTGGTTTCGGTTTAATCGGTTTGATAGAAAATGTACCAAATACAAACCGATTAAGTTTCGGTTTGGTTTCGGTTTGGTATTGTTCGGTTCGGTTTGGAGTTCGGTTTACCAAAGTATTAAGGTTTGGATTGAAATAAAAAAAATTCACTCAAAATAATGAACCAAGAAGCGATAGTAATGAACCAAATATAATGTTAGATATCAATTTGCAAACAGTACAAAACACATATGAACCAAAAATATATAAGCATGACACATTTGTAAGTAAAAATAACGGGAATGAATCAAATTATATATAAAGCCGAAACAAAAACAAAACTGGTGCTTGTAAGTAATGAACCAAATATATATAGTAGTAGTAGATAATAAATTATAGTTGAATACTATCTACTTAAACCACTATAATTGTTATAATTGTGAATGCAACTCTTGTAGTAAACTCTAGTCCTGGACACTAAAATTAAAGAATTAAAGCTTCAAAAAGATTAACATCAATCAAATTAATGAGAGGAATCTTATATTTTGGTTTGGTTTAGTTTCGTGTAAGTTAGTTTTGATTTGTTATTTTAAAAAAATAAGAAATTATTTCATTTTTAGATTAGTTCAGTTTTATTCAGTTTTATTCGGTTTTATGATTTCGGTTCGGTTTGGTTCGGTTTAATACGGGTTGGGAGAAATACTACCAAACTCAAACCAAATTACAAATGGATCGGTTTTGGTTTGGTTTAATTCGGTTTTGTACGGTTTGGTTTGGTCAAACCGAACCGTTATGCCCACCCCTAATAATTTGCCCTAGAGGACTATTTTGGATGGTCAATTTTGGATTATCCTTGTGCAGAATTCGTTGAGTATTTATTGGCCAGAAAACACTTATTATGTTGGGCTAATTATGGCTATTATGGAACATGTGAACTCATACTATTTGTTCCACTACCTAGAAACTCAATGTTGAGGGTAATTCTA